AATGATTATAATAATCCTTTATTATTTCTATGATATATCTTAATTATCCATCAATATGATTCTATATAAATATATAAATGTATATATGTATAATTGGGATATAATGTTAGAAATAATTTAGTAAATCATACAATGAAATCATTATTAGAATGATGATTAGATAACTAATATTTCGTTTTTTTTGTATTTTTTTGTTTTATTTTTGTATTTTTTTTGCATTGGAGATAAATTAACCAATCATATTTGTAGAATGATGTTATTAATTTCTGATTGGTTAATTAAATAATTCATGTTTATGTAGGCGTATTTAAAAATAAAAAAGTGTATGGTTGAATAAATTCTCTAATATATAATTGAATAATGATCATTAATTTAGGTAACATGTATATTTATGATTGATAATTAACATTATTATGTATATATATATATATATATATATATATATATATATATATATATATATATATATATATATATATATATATATATATATATATATATATATATATATATATATTACTTAGTTACGCCTATTACCCCTCATAGGAGAGCATAGACCACCCACCAGCTGATATATATAAAGTGAGAGTATAATTTATGGATGATGTTGAACTGATTTTAAAGTGATTTTGAGAATGTCCACCTACAAATTAAGACAAAATGAAGGTTATAAATAAATATGAGAGAATATGAATTTATGATTTACAGTTGATAATTAAGGTTAACATTTGTATCATATAATGCTAAAAGTTTATTTAATTAAATGTATAAATGAATTTTAACTCTGCCTGGAGTCTCTCTGAGGGTCTACTGCCGGTCCCAAGCGCGGATAAATGAGGAGGGTTTGGCATGAGGTTACCGACCCCATCTCGTAGAAAACTAACTCACTATAAAAACGCTAACCAGAAAAAATTATTCAAATAAGTAATAAATGAATTTCGCTCCAAAATCGAAGACTTACTAAATTATATCTGATTGGTTTGTCTATAAATTATAATCTCGAGATTAAAAATGTATTCATAATTAATATATCTATACAAGATATATTAATCAATGAAAAAAAATGACAATCTCCATCATGAATTGATATGAACTAGAAAGTTAGAAAAAAAATGCTGGATAATTTAGTTTAGCTTGATTCAAGGCTTCTTTGAAGTATATATAGATTATCTTTTCGGCAACTTAGTCTAACACCTACACACAACTTGGTGAACGTATAATATTTATATTTGTCAGTTCAAATCTAATTGTACATTGTTCTATAGTGAATCAAGAGTTAATTTCGATGTATATTGATGAGGAGGCTTAATATAATAAAAAGTAGTTTTATACTGATTATTATTTTTAATTTTTCCTATTATTGTGTTATAACTTATGAACCTGTGTGCCCTGTTTATTGTATAACGCAACGGTACCGCCAATCAGGGAGCAGCGAATTATCGATCGAACCAGTGACGCATAAAACACATGCGAGCAGTCTAGAGTCCTGATTGGTCCTGTTTAGTCCAGAACACCAAACTCAGCCTCTCCAATATAAATCATTTATTTCAAACATATTCAATTTATATATCAACAAGACAGACCACATCATACCATGAAGTATGAACAACAGTTGTACAAGAATTAGGCTAATGTGGCTGTGAATGTGGGTGGTAGTAATTAATAGACAGGCCATAACTCAAGAATGGTAATTCGTATAATAATGGTTTAAAAGTCAAAATGAAGCTCATGATAAGAGGGACATGAATATGAGCAGTTTAGTTATAAAACAATTATACGAGAAAAAATATAATCATATTATTTGCCCATAAACGGATCCCAAAAGTTACCATTCGTTATTCTTATCGGGATAGAACAAATTGCAAACAGAAAACATGAAGGATTATCTTCTTTGATGTATTGAACTAGTGGATAATGTTTGATTGAAGTAATAAGCGTACGACATCTATAGTATTATATGGAAAACATTTACATGATCACCGTCACAATGGATTTTTAAATCATTAGATAGACAACTTAACGTTTTACCATTAAATATCTTTCTGTAAAACTATTCCTATAAACAGATTTAATTTAAGCTATGAATAGCACTAATAGTGGTTAGTTTATTCAAACAGTGTAGATGAACTTTATGTGTATTTCATTTTCCATATACAATGTTAGACATAAGGATTTGAGCCAACATCCCTGATGTTCATATTAGAAACAAATTTGTAACAATACTCTTTTTATATAACAGACAAAATCTTATGGAATGTCTTGATGATTCTGTTTATTCATCGTTTATTTCATTTCATCTTTTCAAGTCTATTCTGCACAAACTATATATCTGAACTGATTATTCACATACTACTAATCAACATGTAGTAATTATTAGTTAGGTAAATTCAGCTATATTGATTATCTAAATCGTCCCATTGATGTTTAAAGTTGTGATCGATCAATCCCTTTTGACATATGAGGATAGCGTCGACATTTCCATTAAGTCATAATTATTTTCAAGTATAAATGGGTAGTGTCTGGCAGTGGAATTCAGAATTTATCTTTTTCCTTCATTAGGACTTATCAGATGTATGTGATTGCATCCTAGAGTTGATTTTCTCTCTGAGAAGACTCAAACAACCAATGTACACATATTAAAATTCACCCGGTTGCGCAAGCCAGTGACTGTCTGCACTCATTAACTAATTAGATAACGCGATGGCGTTTGAAGCAAACCCTACCGTACCGGCTTCTAGTCCCGGGGTAAACATCAATTTTTGGATTCATGTGTATCCATCTAACGAGTATCAAATAGAATAAAATGTGCAACCTGGATTCCGCTACTAGCCACCATCTATCTATACTTTATAAAACTAGTTTAATTAGTTTCTTTCCCCAAGTTCCAACGAATTTCCTACATTGAAACATTCATTCATGCTGTTATTATCACTAGTATCATTATGTACCTATGTACATATGCATGGCTATATACAACCTAAGAATCTTATTATACGACGAAATACAAGTCCAGTGATCCATATGTTTCATTTGAACTACAGTTCATTACCAATAACTTCAAAAAAAACAATCAACTCAATCTGGCAAAAACAGCTTTAAAACTAATAGACAAACAAAACAAATGAAGGAGACAATTCATGATAGTGACATTTAGGAAGTGAATCAACGTTAGTTTAAATGACATTGAATAGCATTAGAAAATGAATACTGGTTAATTTAATAAACATAAAGATGATTTTATAAAATATTTTGATTATATGAATAAAATAGAGTGTACTTCCTCATTTTAAAACATTTCTAATTAAATCTAAAATGTAGTGTGTTCACGACACCATATTTAAACATTGTTTATGCATTTCAAGAAGAGTTGGATAATGTCTAGGAATGGAATCCAGAATGCCTATTTAGTCTTATTTGGGAATAATCAGCTGGATGTAATCGTAACTCAATGTTAGTGTTTACGTCGAAACTTGACCACAATACCTTTCACTTCAAACGCCCAACATGCTATAAATTAAAATTCAGAGTCTACATAGCCACTAACGTGTATAGCGGGGGTAAATGTTAATTTAATCTTATTAGTGGTTTGAATTTCACCGTTCATAATTTGAACTTCAGTTGATCTGTACTTTTCGGCGAATATGCATTTTGTGCTGCTTGCCGCGATACTACCATTGAGACCCATATATTTTAAGCAAAACTGCATTATTTCTAACGGATCAGTATATATATATATTCTTAACCTATGTGCTTGATGTACTATGTAAACCATATGTTGATAAAATTTATTCTTCTTATATTTAATGATTAGTTAATTACTTGCTTGCTTATGTTTTTTACTCCTCGTGGAGGAGCATAGGCCGTCTGGGTAAAAGAGGAGGGTTGGGCATGTGATTAGAAATTCTGCTAACGAAAAAAAAACGCTAACCAAAATATATTTAATGATGGGTTCATAATATTTGAAGTCCTTTGGAAATGAGATGATGATGACCATTCTTATCAAAAGAGAATTCAAGAATACTATCATATCGTTGCAGAAACAAGGCTTCAATGGATCCATAAGAGATTTCATAAACGTGTAGACACGAATCATTCATAGAAACATATTCATAATTCAAAATCATGTACAATATAAACAGGAAATGATGTAAGATACTCAGATTCTATCTTCTTATCATCAATAAAGTCTTCACTACACACTGAAAAATATGAATTCTTAAAACGGAAAGATAAACGTACATGATTTATTGACGTATGTATAAAGAGGTTGATTGTTATTATGTAACAAAATCAATATGATTAATTAATCATAATTGTTGAAATCATGTTTGCCAATTTTATATAACTGGAATGAATCGACGTTTATTGATTTTTTTTTTAAAACTGACTGGTTAGTTACTAAATTTAAAGCCGTAACATTATATGAAATAATTTTTTTCTTTTCAGAAGGGGTTTTGTGGAGATTTTAGTAATTTCAATAGTTGAAATCATGAGTCAATTGAAGCTAGATCATCATGAAAAACCTGGGAGAACTGGACAGTCGTTTCGTCTTATTGTGAGACTCCTTAGCAGTACTCATCTACGATCCCGCCCTCCTGCAGGGTTCGAACTTATGACCTATCACTCACGCCCGGGAGCGCTAAACCATTAGACAACTGAGCTGACCGGCATCCAACGGTGTTAATGTCTAATTTCAATCAATTCACGAAATTGCACCACCGTCACCATTGTCTTCAGTGAGATGATATCTCACAACAGACCCAATTGAACTCCATTGGCCACAATTTCTCACTAGAACTCCAGGAAATGCCTCTTGAAGTCAGTCACTAGTGAGCAGATGATTATTATCAGAAGAGGTTTTGTGGAGATTTTAGTAATTGCAATAGTGGAAATCATGAATCAATTGAAGCTAGACCACCATGGAAAACCTGGTAGCACTGGATGGCCGTTTCGTCCTTGTAAATTAATGATTTATATTCACTATCATTGCGTCATCACAT